CCAGCTGCAGACTTGCCGCACCAACCACGGCGCCGGTCTCCGGGCTCACGTACGTGCGATCCAGTGCCAGTGAATGGGACACAATCTGAGGAGCAATGGTGTCCCTCGCGAACAATGCTGCAGGGCCAACCACGCTCCCCACCGTCGTGGGGTTTCCGACCGAATCCACAACCGCACTGGCAAGCGCAGTCACCCACGTGGTCGAGGCGCTGCTGGCAATTGGGTGAGCGTACATGAGCGCGTCCACCGTCTCCTGGCTCAGCTGCACCAAGACTTCGGTGGTGAAGGAGCCAACCACACTGGAAGCGTTGAGCGCGACACACGCGCTCGCTGGTGATGCAGTGCCCGTGCAGTTATCACCGTGTGTGTTTGCATGCACATACACCTGCCCAAGATCGACCGCCTCCGCCTCAATAGACTCGTCAAATGTCATCACGAGTTGGCGGGTCGTCAGGTCGATGCTGAACGCTTGAAGCACAGGAGGCGTTGTGTCACCCACAAAGCTCCTTGGTTCCACATACGCGGCTGCAACCACGGCAAGTCCGGCTTGGTCAGCAATGAATGCGGGGCCAAGGCTGAGCACAACTGTCGATGCGTTCGTGGCGATGCGCGCTTCCTTCATCGCATTCATCACCGCCGTGGGCAGCCTCAGAGTGACATTGGTCGAGTCCACCGTGCTCAGAACCACGGCTCCAGTGAGCTCGACGCTGGCGCTCGTTGCCGCTCCATTCTCGCGGGCAACCATCGCCTCCACCACACTCACACTTGTCACGTTCATAATCTCGCTAAAGGACAGGTGCACAACACCAGTGTCAAATTGCAGGGCCCAAGACACCAGCTCAGGCGCCTGCCTGTCCGCGACAAAGTTGGTTGCTTGCAGCGCACTCGTCGAGGCGCGAGAGAGACCGCCATTGCCACTCAGGTCCCGGAACACGGAAGCGCCATGGGAAATCCATGCCGTGGCGAGTGAGACATACAGCGCCTCCTCCCGCTGCAGTGCAAACTGCACATCCTGCGTGAAGTTCAAGCGCACGACGCGGCGACGCAAGGGGCCGCTGCCCACCACAAGCTGGGCCGCCAACACAACGTCGAGGCGGGCCGCACCAGCGCTCGGTGCACTTACCAGGGTGAGGGCAAAAGCGCTACCATCAGGTACCGACACGGGCTCGTCGAACGTCAGCATCAAGCCCGTGTTGAAGTCAACGTCAAAGGCGACCAGCTCGGGCTCAACGGTGTCTGACACGCGTACCTGCAGCGAAAGTGGGGTGGCTGAGGCCGCGTTGCCATTTGGCTGCAATGCCAGATCCTCAATTGCACCTTGAGCAAGCCGCACGCGCGTGGTGTTGGCTTGCGTGGAAAGGAGGTCCAGCTTCAGCGCGTTCAGCGTGGTTTGAGACAGCACAACACCGGCCGAGTGCAGCGGAAGTGCCCATCCATCCGCAGCGTCAACAAGGCGACCGCCGTCCAGGCCAATGGGACTGCTGGCCCAGCTTGCCCCAAGAATCAGCTCGACGTCTGCAATCTGCAGTGTGCTGGCGTTCACAGGTTCATCGAACACAGCAACCAACACCCCTGCGCTCAAGTCAATCCAGAACTCAACCACAGTGGGCGCGACAACGTCAGGTGTGACAGCCAGTGCCACGGTCTGCGACTGGATGGGCACGCCAGATGCATCGGCAACAGCGCTGAACGCCACGGCTAGCGTGTGCCACGCTGCGTGCTCAAACAACATGGCCCGAAGAGCGTTCAGTTCTGTCACTGGCAGGACCAGCGAGGCAGCGAGGCTGAAGTTGGATGAGCCGGTTTGTACCGTGGCGTTCTCTAGTGAATGCAGAATACCATCACTCGACGCCATCGTCAGCAGACCAACGGCCAACGAAGGCAAGTACACGGGTTCGGAGAAGCGAAGAGACACACCACCCGTTGACATATTGATGGATGCATCCACCAGCACTGGGGCAACCGCATCGGCGATGATGCTCAGGTTGGCAACAGCAGCTTCGTTGGTGTTCCCAAAGCTGTCGTCGACAAATGGCGTAGCCACAAGCACGCAGTCCGCCACCCCAGCCGTCGTTGTCCCGCAAAGGCCAGGATACAGACCGAGCGTGTCAAACACGTTCTTGCTCAAAGCAACAACCGCAGTGTTGTCCCTGCTGGTATCTGGCACAACAGCGCAGGAGGCCAGGTTCACTTGGGGCAGGGCAGGCTCTGGGCGTCTGGAGCTCAAGACCAGCGCGGTCGTGTTCAAGGTGTCATCCACAACAACATCGTCAAAGGTCAATGACAAAACCCTGGCTGTCATGTTCAACGTTGCACTGATGAGGCGGGGTGGGGTCACATCCACGTCCACAGTCACCGCCAACGACGCAGGCTGGATGGAGTTGGCCCCGGCGGCGTCAACGACAGCACCAGACCGAACTACAACACTCAGCGACGTCCCAGGGGCAAGAACACCGTCACTCTTCAAGGCAAGGCGGTCATTAAAGGTAAGCTGAAGCGTAATTGCACGTTGGAGGGACGCGTTGACAACAGCACCGTGCCCATCGAGTGGAATGGAAGGACTCGTCGCATCGCCACTGCGGGTAAGTTCAAAACCGGTCACGTTCAGCGTGTGCCCGTCAACAACCTCGTTGAAGGAGAGAGTAAGCGTCTCTTCCGGGTTTGCATCAAGAAGCGCAGACAGCAGCACTGGTGGTGTAACGTCTGGAACGAATAAATCGACAGACAGCGAAGCTGGAAAAAGAGCGTTCGAATTGGCATCACGAACAGTTGATGGCAGCGTCACCAGCACCAGTGGCATGTTGCCAGAGTAAAGCAGACGAGCAAGGTCGTCGCGCTCATCGCTGGAGAAGGTGTACGTTATCGAAGGGGTAAGAGCAAACGACGAAGGGTTGCGCACACCGTGGTTGTTAAACGACGCGTTACGCACACCGTTTTGAAGCAAGAACGATGTCGCATCAAAGGTCGATGCATTCACGGGCTCTGAGAAGGAGAGGGAGATGAGGCCTGCGCCGTCCATGCTCACGTTGAAGCTGACAAGCTCCGGCCGCACAAAGTCGCCGTAGAACGCACCCGCACCGCTATCAGCAGCAACCGCGCGCCCAAGCGGCACCCCAGCTATCCCGTTCCCAAACATGTCCCGCACGCTTCCACCATCAACACCCACGCGCGTCGTCGCCGCACTCACACACAGCGCAGCGTCAACCTTCACCGCCTCAAGGTCGCCGTGCCCAAGCTCAACAACAACGCTCGTCGACGCGTCGCCAGCAACGCCAACAACGCGCGTCCCCGCACGCCCAAGCCGCACAGCGTGCGCACTCGTCCCGTCGCCAGTCAGCACAAGCCCGCTCACATTCACGCTGCTCACCCGAACCGTCTCGCTGAAGCCAAGCCAGAGCTCCTCGCTCGTCAGGTTCAGCCGCACCGCCGTCAGCTCCGGGCGCACAACGTCACCCGCATAGGCGCCCACGCCAAGCCCCGCTCCCACGCCAACAGCGCGCACAGCGTTGCCCACAGCTGCCATGTCAACCACAGCCCCGCGCCCAACAGCAACATACGACGTGGCTGCGCTCGACACAAGCGGGTACAGCGCCTTGACCCTGTCCAGCTCCTCGCGCCCAAGCGCAATCACAACCACCGTGCTGTCGCCGGCACTGACAACGGTGCTCTCGCCCTCGCGCAGGCGGTACGCAATGGCGTCTGCCGCTGTTCCGTCTGCCTTGCTCTGCAGCACCACGTGGCTCACGTTCACGCTGCTCACCAGGACCGTCTCGTCGAAGCTCAGGGTGAGGGTGCCTGCGGTCATGTTGAGGGCGGCGCTGCGCACCTGTGGCGCCACGCTGTCTGCAACAAACGCATCCACCTGTCGAGCCGTCAGCCCGCTCACAAGCGGCACAACGGCCTGCTCATTCATGTCCCATGCCGCCGCTGCGCTCAGCACCACAAACGTTGTGCTGGCACTGCGCCCAACACCAACCCGCTTCAGCTCGTTTGCGTCGGCCTCCGCAACCTGCACCACCATCTCCGTGCCCGGATCGGCTGTCACAAGCTGCGACCCGCGCAGCGCAACAGAGGCCCCGTTTCCGTCAAACGCGCTCTGCAGGAAAATTGCGCTCACGTTCACGCTTTCCGGCGCAATGGGCTCGCTAAACACAAGCGCAAGCTCGAGCGACGACATGTTCACACGCGCCTGCACGACCCGCGGCGCCGTTACATCGTCAACAAACTGCTCCGCCCGCAGCACGCCAGACACGGCGTTGTCGTTGCCAGCAGCATCTTGCACTGCTCCAGCCACAAGCTGCACGAAAGTGGTGTTGACGGCTGTGGCGAGCACTCGATCAGCCTTGATGGCGTGCGCCAGGCTCACCTCAAGCCCAACAACCACCCGCTTGCTCGTGCCGTTGCTCACGACGGTCGTCTCGGCAAGCAGCTTCTCGCTCACGCCAGCGCCGCCAAGCACGCCCGCGCTTGCAAGTACGCCGCGACTGCCATTCCACGTGCCCGACCGCACAGGCTCGTCAAACACCAGATACACCTCTGCGTCATCAAGGTCAAGGCCAAACCGCATCAGCCGTGGCGCAGTCACATCTGCGCGCACCTCTGCTGCCGCTTGCCGCGTCTCACTGACCCCGTTGCCAAACGTGTCGAGCACAGCCCCACTTGCGAGCCCAATAAACGTGTTGCTGGTGCTGGTCGCCACATCGTCAGATGCCTTGAGCGCATCCACTGTCGCCTTGTCCACAGAAATAACCACCATCTGCGTTGGCAGGGCGCTCTGAACCACCGTGCTCGCAGCGAGCTCGCCCACAGCAACACCGGCGCCAGGCACCACAGGCCCGACCGCTGCTGCAGAGGTGCTGCTCACACGCACCCGATCCAGTCGCACACTACCCGTCAGCACAGGCTCATCAAACTCGAGGGTCACCGTGGACGTGTTCATATCCAGCGTGAATCGCTCCTGGGATGGCGCAGCGCTATCTGCCGTAAACACAGCACACCCA